TTTATATATTTGCTATTAAAATTTTAAACATTTTAGTGCAATAATTTTAACATTTTAGTGCAATAATTTTAATCGGAGAATTTCTGATATTACATCTGCGTTGGAGCGAGCTGTGTGAATATTAAAGACGTCAATTAAATCGAGATGCAACGCGTTAAATCTAAACCGAATTGAAATGCAAAGCAATGTGAAAGGCCATAGCTATTACAAGCTGGAATCGCACAACGTATACAGAAGCTATTGATCTACGACTATACATTGCGGTTGTTGGAACTACGTGAGAACATACGGTTTGAAATCTTTCAAACACATTTGTGTTTTCTATAACATTTGAAAAGGCATAACGATTTCTTATATTTAGGTACGCGAACACTACACATTTAATTAATACTAGGTTTTACGGATTTTATCGCGTATATTTAACTTTTTAAATACCCGACGTTTCGAGCACTTTACAACACTCATGGTCAGGGGGGGGGGGGTACTGAGATATTCAACGACCAGATGTAATAGTTAACCGCAAATTTAACTTTTGTTCCGATCTACACAGTATGAACTTATGGTATCTTGAAGTCTGTATGCTTGGGTTGGGATTTAATTTTATTAATTATAGAATCCCAAGCAGATGGTAGCACCCAGCCATCTTCTCTTTTTAAATTAGGATGTTTTTTGATTTCAATAACCTCGCGAATCATCCTTAGAAGGAATCGTTATTCTTTAGCGAGGATTTATATTGTGTGAACCATGAATATGAATCAATCTTTTAAGTCGTTCCATAAGTCGATCACTAACAGGCGCACCAACGAAATATAAAGACTGGATTATACGTCCACTTTGCTTAAATTAGAATTTATTATTTTATTAATTGTTAGTAGTTCTTAAGGCTATGAAGGAATGAAGGTATTTAAGTTTGTAAAGTTGGTGTAATTTTCAAATCAAACTGAGAAATTATTTGTATATTTATATATTGAATATATATATATATATATATATATATATATATATATATATATATATATATATATATATATATATATATATCATTACAGCCCTTCACGAAACCACTGCTGCATATAGGCCTCCCCCAAGGAATGCCACAAAGAACGATCCTGATTCCTGAGCCACCTGCATCCATCGACATTCCTGCAGGTCTTACCAGGCCGTCACTCTATTTAGTGAGGGATCGCCCTACACTATGCCTACCGATACGAGACTGACGCTCCAGAACCTATTTTCCCCATCCGTTGTCGGTTTTTTGAGCTATATGGCCGGCCGATTGCCACTTCAGTTTACTAATCCATTGGCATGTCGGTCACTCTGGTTCTACTGCGGATATCCTCATTTCTAAGTTCATCACGCAGAGAAATCCCGAACATAGCCCTCTCCACAGCTTGCTGATCGACCTTGAGCGTCCTCATACGGCCAGCAATGAAGAACTGCGTCTCAGATCCATAAGTCATCTGGTGTTTTTCAATGCTGCCTAGCCAAGTTGAATCCGTCTATTAACCTCTTGGTCTAAGTTGGACTTACCTAGTCGGACTATTTGTCCCAGGTTAACGTACTCCTCAACAACTTTGAGCTTTGTGCTCTCAGCAACAACCGGCATAGGTGTGACATGCATAGGATCTTTGTTTTGTCCATGTACATCTTAACACCTATCCATTGGGTGACACTATTGAGGTCATTAAGCATAGTGCTTACGGTCCTCAAAGATTCTGCCATAAGGACTATATCGTCGGCAAATCGAAGGTGAGCGATGTACTCGCCATTGATGTTAATATCGTATCCTTTCTAGACCACGTCGAAACGTCTTCCAATTCAGCGGTGAAGAGTTTCGGGGATATAACGTCACCCTGTTTTACACCTCTCTGCAGTTGGATAGGTTTCGTACTCTGGTTCTGTATTCGGTTAGCCATCGTAGCCCTACTGTAACGCTTCAGCACTTCGATATACCAACAGTAAACTTGGAACCGCTGAAGGTACTATAGCACCGCCCAAATTTCGACGGAATCGAAGGTTTTTTATCGTCCACATACGCAAGGCGAAATGGCAGATTGTACTCTTCGGTCTTCTGTACAATCTGCCGCAGGGTATTTGGTCTATGGTACTGAAGCCTTTTCAGAAACCGGCTTGTTCGGGAGGCTGGAAGTCGTCGAGTCTGCGTGCGACACGATTCGTAATGACTCTCGAAAATTATATATAATATGTTTATTATAAGTAAGAATGGTCTCAGGTACTCTACTCTACTTTTTTCTACAACTAATTTGACTGATTTTAATTCTTAATCTTATAAATGTTGATGTTTATGCACCACCGCAACCACTTACTAGGTGGGCTGTGTGTTCGCTAGTAACTCTTTTTTTCTACAAAAAAATCTGGTACTCACGTCATGAAACACAGCAACCTTAAACTGCTATTTTACGGTATGGTATTTTGTGAGAGCGTGGCCTTTTTTCGGTCGAGCTGACCCATTTGTGCTTCAGATATAATATAAAGTAACGCCTGATTTTATTAATTATGTAATAGTTTATTTATTCCTCTTGCCTGATCTTTCTCCCGGTCGTGTCGGTTTACCGTCCCATCGGATTACGAGAGTGAGGGAATATAGAGTGCATCTGTGCTTGCGCATACACTTGCGTACATGTTGTCCTGCGCCGATGGTTAGCCTGCATTGAGGCAGGCCGCCGTGGCCGAAATTCGGTCTGGAGGACATTATTACTATAATTATTTATTCCTTACAAAATGTACGGATAAAATTTATAAGCGTACGTTCTCCCCTTTGATATCCTCCGACTGGTAGACCGCAGTGCCGTGTAAACATTTCCGGCTCCACTGAAATTACACTTGACAAGTTGTGTTATAGCAGAGAGGTGACACTATAGTGTGAGATAAATTTACTAAGCTAATACCTACCTACAAATGAAAAGGATTAAGTCATTCATTTATTCAATAATTAGGCCCGGTTTACATTTTGAGAAGTGACAAGTGCCAGTGGCAAGTGCATCTGACAAAGGACAAGTGCTAAGTACGTGTGAATAGGCAGTGGCAAGTGATAAGTGTGAATAAAATACGTACTTGTCACTTCTCACTTGCCACTTCTCACTTTACACTCACATTTGTCACTTCTCAAAATGTAAATCCGGCCTTTCTATTAAAAGTCCATTGCTGTACATAGCCTTCTTCATGTGTTGCTTCATAGAGAAGATATTTGTCGTAGTTGCCACTATTGGCAATCCGGTTGCTAATCATATTTTTTACTCATTTTGAGTTGTCATCACGGGGATGCTGCAATTTATAACAAATAATAAGCTAGTACCTAGGACCTCATGATCGGCAGTCACACTACTACAACCACTAGACCGGAATCCCGGATCGCGCCAAAAAATAAATTATTGAGTTTTTCCGTCAAGAAATTCTCAGTAGTTGCCTGGGGTGAGGAAGTTGACGGTGTCTCACCCCCGTGCCTCGGAAAGCACGTGAAGCCGTTGGTCCTGCTCCTGATCTTTCTCTTGTCGTGTCGGATTATATGAGTGAGGGAATAGAGAGTGCAGCTGTGCTTGCGCAAACGCTTGGAAAGTAAGTATAATTCTGTCCTGCGCCGATGGCTAGTCTCTGTTGAAGCTGGCCGCCGTGACCGAAATTCGGTCTGGAGTACATAATATATAATATATGATAATAAGCTAATATATAATATTAAGCTAGTGCGTAACTACAATCCTATTTTTTGGTACGTGCGATTATATAATTGGGTATATTTTATTCACATTGTGCTTTAATTGTGAAGAACTTAGAGCCCATATCGTTAAAGTTTAAGCCGTTTGTTAAACTTACTAACTCAAAATGTACTGGCGTACGGATGTGCACTGCATCATGTAAACCTGTGGGTGGCATAGAGCACGTAGCCTTGAGCTATCATGTTTCTTTACTGTTACATACTTAATTGTAAGGTATAAAGTGTTGCCGCCTTGCGGTGTCGACGCAAGATAATCTATCACCCATTTCGTCTCATGGCTTTTTTATAGAATGTGGTAACAAACGAGCACACAATCCACATAATGGTAAGTGGATGCTGTGGCCCATAGACATTTACGTCTATTCTCGATTAAGAATCAAATGCAGATGCGTTATCGCCCGTGAGGACTAAGATGGAATGCTTTGTTTCCAGTAAAAATAGTCTCCGGCTATTGTACGAGGTGACTGTAGGAAATATCAGAAAAAATCTTATGGCTTTCGACACATGGTGGTGTCTCTACCCCGTTTGATACGTAGTATACCAAAACCGGTGAAGTCTTGCACCTCCAAACCTCCAACGCTGCTCTCGTGTCCTTATAGTTCACATTATTACGGTAAGCAGCACAGAACGTGCGAGTCCTGCAAACACCAATATGCTTGCTAAGAGGGGTATAGGTGGTGGTAAACGACCATGCTCAGCAGTGGATTGTTACGAGCTGACGTCAATGGTTGTGCTAGGACTGCTTTTTATAGCATTGGATGACAAACGAGTGCACAGTTCACTTGATGGTGAGTGAATATTGTGGCCCATAGACATTCGAATATATCTTCAACTAAGAATCAAAATGCAAACGCGTGTTCACCCCTGAGGACTAAGTGGGAATGCCTCGAATCCAGTAAAAAGGGTCACCGGTTCTCTTCACTCACTATACACAACATAGCAGCATTAAGCTGCTATTTTAGGCTGATATTGTGTGAGAGCGTGGTCCTTCCCCGGTCGAGCCGACCCATTCGTGCTACAACTACAATATAGCTGTAGCATAGCTCTACCACTGTTTTACGACAGTAGTCGTATGGTGGATTTGAAGCCATGAATTTTGTATTTCGCTTATCGAGCCCCTGAAGTTTAGGTTACTGTTGATTTAGTTTACTTTTATTAGGTTAATGACATCGGAATAGACTGACTTAGTCTCAAATTTCTTTACTTTGTATATTCAGAACTTGAGATTCAAGTCTTTAAACTTTTCTCATTTATTTTATATTTTCAGATCAACAAAGTAACGTTTGCTCCATTAGTAGTATCAACTTTATTCATTCTCCTGACGTCATTGTTGGCCCACTGCGCAAGAAGAGCTGTTCAGAAATTAGTTAAGGAGCCCTTTGTGAAACTTCTCTTTGAAGAGGCTATTGCAGCAGCGGAACTATGCGGGTGTTGTTTTGAACTCATTATCAGTAAGGATTTGTAATTATAAACGGCATCGTACTTATAAGCAAAACTATCTCTTCAAATTCTTCGCTTTTAAACTCCATTGAACGATTCCCTAACTACTCTAAGTATAATGTTGAGTTTGACTTTCATTCTGTTAACATTAGAAGCATTTGAAGACAGTATGACAGAGGTTTGGTTGTCGGTATTGCAGCAAAATAACGAGCAGATGTAGAACGCATTTTAAACATTAAAAATATTTTTTACACGTGGTAGATCCATGCTGATGTTATAAATCGATTGTAGTACGAATGGGTCGGCTCGATCGAGGAGCGACGAAGCTCTTACAAAATGCCAGCGTAAAGTAGCAGCTTTATGCTGCTATGTTTCTATCGGTGAGTGTAAAGATTTGGAGACTCTTTTTACTAGAAACGAGACAATTCATCTTAGTCCTCAGGGATGACAACGTATTTGAATTTTAATTCTCAATCAAGGATAAATATACATGTCAATAGACCACAGTCTCCACTTACTATCAAGTGGACTGTGTGCTTGTTTATCACCCTAATTCTATACAAAAAAACCTTCAGTATTCAATGTTTTTGTATTTTAAGATATACGAGAGACTCTAAACTTAATTCTAGTTATCAGGCTTCCGGGACAAGCATCAATGTAATGTGATTATTGACGCTATCAGTGGAAGCCTAGATTGGAACTGATCAGATCTAAGCCACCTGAATTATTGTCATCGTGGTTTTGAACTAGATCAGTAACATTTTGACCAGTAAACACTTAGTTTTCAATTACTTATAATTTTTATTTTTAATTTATTGTTTCATTTATTTAGAATTCCAACAGCTCTTGTGTATTTACAAGGACAATAATTTATAAAATGGTTATAATAACCAATTGTAGGTTTCCCTATGTAAATTTTAAATGGTATCTCCTTCGTTGTATATTTATCAATAATAATAAGGTTAACAAAGTCAAGCAAGTAAGCTAAGGCAGATGGCAATATGCCAAGAGGTAGATGTATGTGATATTATGTTGCCTTGTGGTGGTGGCGAAAAAGAACAACACTATTTCATCCCAGGGGATTAATTTCTAGAGTTTGATAAATTTTCCTACTAATAAGTGTGCATAAAAATTGTGACTAAATTAGAAAGTATGCTATTTATTTTATTTCTATCTACCATTACAGCCTATAAAAGTCTACTACTGAGCACAAGCTTAACCAATATATTACCTCATGGGTGGGAATTTAACTGAAGTGGCACACTCTTACGTAAAGAAAAGATTTTGCCATAGTTGCCACGTTTGACGGGTTAGTGCTTCTCAACACTGTTTCAGTTTCCTTCTGTCGCCTCTTACAATTCACACTTGACGATATGCGTTCGTGGATGTGGCGGCGCTGTCGTCGCACCACAAGCGAAGCCTAAATCGCGTTATCAAAGTTACGAAGTAAAACAGTATATATAGAATAGCTCCGAACTACCACTTGCAGCGTTTGGCCACTTGCCGGGCAGGACACCTTGCCCGGCGAAATATCTCCTCTTTTCCTTTCCACCCATTCTATAGATATTCTTACATTGCCACTACATGGTCAATTTAGTAGCCTTTGGTCAAATATATTATTTTACTTACATAACATTAAATACATTTTATTCTTTTAGTTGCCGACAACTTTGGTGTAGCTACTTATGCCATTTACTTGTTCGCGCTCACCATCTGGTGGTCATTGAATTGGGGAGATGCAACTGCTTGCCCTTATACTCACATAGAGGATGTCATTGAAGGTGAGTCATTGTATTGTGCCTTGTTTCGTGTATTACCATATGTGGGCGGCGTAAGAGAAATTGTCACCCCATGTTGTTCCGTGGTTGTGAACGGGGACTAAGTGATAGAGACACGCTGCAGCTATATTAGATAGAGGAATTCTATCTTAGTCCTCAGAAGTGGTGTTTTGATTCATAATCGAGGATAGATGTAGATGTCAACGAGCCACAGCATCCACTTACCATCATATGGGCTGTGTGCTCGCTTGTTACACTCATTCTTTAAAAAAAGATATGAGCGATCAAAAAATTGTCAAACCATATGATAGCAGAATGTAATAGTGGTATGCTATCTATATGGTATATTTGAGATGTGAACGGCCATACTGGCGGCTGTGAACTATGAGGCCCTAACTCTTACGGGCAAGTAAAATGAGGAAAAGGAGTCATCACAGGGTACTAATTTCAACTTCCAGCTCTTAACTTGGTTTATGTACAACATTTAAAGAAAACGCTGTTTGTACATGTAATCCCTTTTAGAGAGTAACTAAAAATATTAACACGCAAAAATATAATAAAATATAAGAAAATGAGTGAAATTACATGAAAATAAATACTATACTGCCGCATGTTTAAAGATGCAGTGTACGACTGTGTCTTGTAAATTAAAATTTGGGACGTTTGTAAATTTTTGGTAATATTACAGTACCTATATGCCTTATTCGGATCGAACTAGGTTTTCTTTACACATTGTACTCCTACCCGCTTTCCCCGAGTGGTAAAGATAAATGAATCTTTTGAGTGATGACTTTTAATATTTTAATCATCATCATCATTACAGCCCTTTTTAAGTTCACTGCTAAACAAAGGCCTCTTCCAAGGAATGCCTCAAAACACGATCTGTACTCTCGTACAAATACACTTCACTTTACTACAGCACTTCGACTACCGACATTCAACTTGGCACCGCTGAAAGGACTGAAATTTGTATTATTCATGTAAATGTAGTTTTTATGTTATTACGTAACAAGTGTTTTGTTGTAAAACTGAATTATGCTGGACTAGTGTTCAGAATTTCTATTTGGGTTATTTATTGCGGAGACCATCAGGTTATATTGTCGTAGAAAATCAATCGATCTGCGTATTTCTTAATATTTTATGTCGATAACAAAAGGAAGGAAGAACATTTTCTGATATAGAATGTACTATTTCTTGCTTCTAAATTTTGATCCAAATTAATACCTATCGCTATTAACTGACTTAAAAAATATGAAAGTTATCCTTTTGAGCTTATGTTCTTTTCTAATTCCTATTATATATGTAGCGATTTAGATGTTTTTTTATATTAATTGATAGAGTATTTTCCAGTATATAGTACATTTTAATCAGCGCGGATGATAATCGAGGTCTGTTTATATTTTTAAATAACAGAATTTGTTCTTAAAACTTTTTATCACAGACGAGTCTTGAAAAGATATAAAATTATGTACGATAAGAGACACTTTATTACGTAATTGTTATGAATCCGTAGAATTAGTTTATGCGGCAGACCTAAACTGCATCTATGTATATTATGGTTGTAGTACGAATGGGTTCAGCTCGACCGGAAAGGGCCACGCTCTCACAGAATACCCATATGGAATAGCAGCTGAATGCTGCTACGTTTCGTATTATGTATGTAGTGAACTGGAGATCCTTTTTACTGGGAACGAATTCCTCTTATCTTATCCTTATCTTATTCCTCAGTGTGACAACGCATCTGTAAATATTTTTTTCTTAATTGAGGATAGACGTCTATGGACTTATCATACTCGTCATTCACTTGCCATGAAGCGGACTGTGTGCTCGCTTGTCACCCTTTTTCTATAAAAAAGAAGTGTATGGATTACAAATATTTCCTCATTTTACAAATTGTTTGAAAGAGCAAATTTATCAGGCAAAGGTGATATACGAAAGTCGTTGCTGAAGATTTGGGCGGAGTTGACTGGTGGTCTACTCGTCTTCAAATACGTCCAGATGTACTGGGCTTTGGAAATATCGGAAACGCACAAAGATAAGGCATTTGAAGACTGCACAGCGGATTTGCAGGTAAATAATGTGTATATTCTTAAATTATACTAATTTTACGTTTTCACCACTTTTTATTCTAACTTTTAATAAAATTTTAATTGTGACGTTATGTATAAACCCTTCCAAATTTTTACAGTCTTAACTGGTTCATGTATATCCTTGTTCATAATTTTGTTATAGGTAATGCTTGCATGTCTATTTGCGAAATTCTGTAATTTAAACAAAAAAAAATGTCGGCATCTCTTAAATTTCTATCCTATTTAAAGCAAATACCTGTTACACATATATGAGATAGACATTATTATATTGCTTTACCGGATCCAGATGGATTATCTATTTCAATAATCTTAAGGAATTTGGGTGACAGACTATTAAAAGTATCTATCAAATACATTATAGCGCTTCCCTGGATACCTGTAATTGACTCCAAGCAAAGAAGATCATAAATGTGCAGTCACTATAGATTGAGATAGAATGCCTTATAAACTTTTATCATAGCTTAATTTTTATTATACGAGGGTGGATTGAAAAGTACTCGGCCTAACCAAGAAAATAAACACATACTAAATCAGTTATATTTTTATTTTTCTACATAATCACCATCAAGTTCAATACACTTTTGCCACCTCCCCTTCCAAGCATTACTTCCAAGCATTAGACCGTTGAAAAAAAATGATTCTTCCTTAGAGTCAAAATATGCGTCTACAGCTGCTTTGAGCTCGTCGTTTGTCGAAAATCTTTGACCTCCCAAGTGCTTTTTTAGGTTAGGGAACAGAAAGAAGTCTGATGGTGCCAGATCAGGTGAATACGGCGGATGCGGTAACAGTTCAAAACCACAGTTGTGAATTTCAGCCATTGACTGTACTGACGTGGGAACACGGGCGTTATCTTGATGAAACAGGACTTTTCTTCTGAGCATTCCTCGACGTTTTTCTTTTATTTCCTCTCGTAAACAAGGTAGTAAGGTGCAGTAGTAATCAGAGTTTATAGTCTGACCCCTTTCAAGATAATCAATCATAATCACACCTTTCGAGTCCCAGAATACTGAAGCCATCACCTTATTTGCCGACAAAATCGACTTAGCCTTTTTAGGGGGTGGTGAACCAGGTCTTCTCCACTGTTTTGATTGTTGTTTTGTTTCCGGTGTACAGTAATGAACCCATGTTTCGTCCATAGTAACAAAACGATTCAAAAAATCATCTGCATCGGCTTCAAATAACTCCAAACAGTCGCGTGAAATAGTCAATCGCGTCCTTTTTTGTTCAACTGAAAGCAGTCGCGGAACCCACCTCGCAGACACCTTGTGGAAACCCAACTCGTTGACAATGATGTTTTGAGTTCGTTCATAAGAGATGCCTATAATCTCGGCTATCTCTCTAATTTTTAATCTGCGGTCTCCCATTATTAAATCAAGTACTTTTTTTAATATTTTCGTCAGTAGTTGACGTCGAAGGCCTTCCAGAGCGGGGTTCATCTTTCACACTCCTCTACCACGCTTAAATTCTGATATCCATTTTTTGACGGATGAATATGACAGAGCACAATCGCCTAATGTACTGACCATGTCATCATGGATGGCTTTTAATGATAGCCCCTTCTTATGGAGGTAATTAATGACGGCACGCTGCTCGATTTGCTCCATTCGCGGAAATTATGTCCGATTACTTTGTTAATAAATTTATAAAATCACAACTAATTATCGCACACGTTTCGAACTTCACACAATGAACTAGTCTGAACTGAACTAAATAATGTGGGTAGATTTGATTTTTAGAATTGAATGGATCTGTGTTAGGCCGAGTACTTTTCAATCCACCTAGGTAATTACTGAATCTCAGAAACTTTCAGTCAATTGACAAATACAAGATATCAGATATAGTAAATATATTTTATGTCAAGTTTATTTCTAAGTGTGTCAGCCCTAACGGAATGCTGTTTTATGTTATGTCGACTTTTGAACTTAGTGTAATTATATACATACGTATGTTTGAAGTACAAAGAAAGAGAGAGAAAGAGTAATTGTCAGTAATTGTAGACTTGTATACATAAAGTAACAGTGTCAATAAATGTATTCTTGTGATTTTTGACATAAGTATTAATCTTAATAATTAAAAAAATATATAGTTAAATAAATTTTCCGACTGTTGAATGTTTTGTTTAGTTCGTATATATTATAAATACACATAATCACACGGTGTAGATGCATGGGAACATTTAACAGACGAATTAACTGTAAGACAAAGTAATATACGAAGTAACTGAAAATTTGTTTGTTAAGTGATATAAATATAATTATTTTAACGTTTGTTTACTATACCATTAAAATTCTAGTAGTATATGTCAGTTTTTGCACCACCAAAAATAGATCGGCATTTTAAAGTGATCCGATCAAGATAACGGGTGCTAAATAGATTTTGTCCTTTCCAGACAAGGCTGCATTTCTATAGATGCAAGTTCTAGAGTCCGTTAGGGCACATGCATACAACAATTTGCTATGCACTTACGATAAGAATAGAACTGAAACACTGGCATTTTTACTTCGTATTGACCATTAACTGGCATTAACTTCAAGTTGGTGTTTTTTCTCTTTATAATACAAAAAGAGAACTCCGAATTTAGTTAAACCTGACAAGCATTTTGATGTAGCACTAATTTAGAATAGCGTTGGCGTGTCATAAAGGTACCATGAAAATTTAAATTGAGCCAGTTTATTCTTCTTATTTTTAAACGTAATGGAACTAATTTATTTTTAAATTATAATACATTTATGCTCGGTACACGTTGATTTGTAAAACTAGCCTGTTATTTCCTTTATACTTTGCCTGGTTATAAAAGAACATATAGTAAATTCACAATTGTAATCTTAGCAACGTTTCGTTATGGTATTATCCATTAATATATTAGCTGATTCAATCAATTATTTTGATACTGGTTTATGGTTTCAGGTTCCAGTTATATATGGAGCTATTGTGGAAGGAGTAGCTACATGCGTGTGTCGGCTTGCATCAAGATCTCTCGGTGATTTGAATCCACGATTCGCAACGGCTATAGATTCGTTCATTGGAACTTCACTTGTTGTTGCTGGTAATTCTACCTTCTATTTATTTGTAACGTCTGAGATTGAATGTGCAATTTATTTTTTCACTCATTCTAACCCACCCACATACTGAGTTCTCACTCACGCATTCGTGTTCCAGGGGTCCTCGCTAGGCACGCGGTATACGTCTACCGCTATCAAGACAATAGTGCCAATTCGGACCTAAGCGTATCCATCTTTTGCAAAATACATTTAGGAAAAGGTACATTAATGTAGTGAAACGATTTAGTGTTCACTAACAAAGTTGTCATATTTAACGTTAAAGCGATGCATGTTAGGACATGTTATGCGGTTTTATTTTTCATATTTCATGTTTTTTGTCCTACGATGTTCCGTTATTTAGAAAACATGCTTACAATAATAACTAAGAAGTCATAAGTTAAACATGTCGAAAGAGTTTGAATCTCACGCTTTCTTTTATTATTTTTCTCATCTACATTATTATCAAAAACGTGCAGTTTTGATGTGAATCCCAAGAACGTGAAGGTAGTTGTTATTCCTCGACAATCGATTCGTTCGAATCGATTAATTGATAAATCGATCGTAATTTTGAACTAGTAAATATATAGGTTCAGAAGTATGCTATATGCTATTAATATTTTGGCATTTCGCTGATTTTGCCTCTTGCGACATCTCACGGTACGAAATTGGGTGAGGGTCTCTGTCGTCACGACTAGGCTTAAATATATTCAATTAAACAAAAATACGATATCATAAGTGCATTTTAATCGTAGGTAATAAAACACAGACCCTTTTTACTGGAAACGAGGCATTCTACCTTAGTCCTCATGGGTGACAACGCATCTGCATTTTGATTCGTAATCGAGGATAGATGTACCCATATAGGAACTTTTACGGGCTGCTGCTGATGATAATGATTAGATACAATATGTTATACAAACAAAACAAGCAAAACAAAAGGAATTTATAGAAGAAATAATAGCACATAATTAAATGCAGTAGTGTTGTTTGTGTTGTCTCAGACGAAAAAATAAACATTATATTTTGATAATTATAGTATACGATATAGTATAAATTTCATCATCATCATCATCATTACAGCCCTTCACAAGTCCACTGCTGAACATAGGCCTCCCTCAAGTAATGCCACAAAGCACGGTCCTGAGCCACCTGCATCCACCGACTTCCTGCATGTCTTACCAGGTCGTCACTCCATCTAGTGGGGGGTCGCCCTACACTACGCCTACCGGTACGAGGCTGCCACTCGAGAACCTTTCTTCGCCATTGGTTATCGGTTCTTCGAGCTATATGGCCGGCCCATTGCCACTTCAGCTTACTAATCCGTTGGGCTATGTCGGTCACTCTGGTTTTACCGCGGATATCCTCATTTTTGAGTCTATCACGCACAGAAACTCCGAGCATCGCCCTCTCCATAGCTCGCTGAGCGACCTTGAGCGTCTTCATACGGCCAGCAGTGAAGGACGACGTCTCAGATCCGTAAGTCATCACTGGCAACACGCACTGGGTACACTTTAGTTTTCAGAGATTGAGGTATACCTGACGAGAAGATGTGTCGTAATTTCACGAACGCTGCCCAGCCGAGTTGAATCCGTCGATTGACCTCTCGGTCGAAGTTGGACTTACCTAGTCGGACTATTTGTCCCAGGTAAACGTACTTGTCAACAACTTCGAGCATGTGCTCCCAACAACTACCGGCATAGGAGTGACATGGACATTAAACATGATCTTTGTTTTGTCCATGTTCATCTTAAGACCTATCCGTTGAGGTCATTGAGTATAGTGCTAAGGTCCTCCAGCGATTCTGCCATAAGGACTATATCGTCGGCAAATCGAAGGTGAGTAATGTACTCGCCATTGATGTTAATACCGTATCCTTTCCAGTCCAGTAGCTTGAAAACGTCTTCCAACGCAGCGGTGAAAGTTTCAGGGATATAACGTCACCCTGTCTTACACCTCTCTGCAGTTGGATAGGTTTCGAACTCTGGTTCTGTACTCGGATAGCCATCGTAGCCCTACTGTACAAACACTTCAGCACTTCGATATACCGACAGTCAACTTGGCACCGCTGAAGGGACTCTAGCACCGCCCAAATTTCGTCGGAATCAAAGGCTTTCTCATAGTCCACATACGCCAGGCAAAGTGGCAGATTGTACTCTTCGGTCTTCTGTACAATCTGCCGCAGGGTATGTATGTGGTCTATGGTACTGAAGCCTTTTCGGAAACCGGCTTGTTCGGGAGGCTGAAAGTCGTCGAGTCTGCGTGCGAGACGATTCGTAATGACTCTCGAAAACAGCACGTAGACGCGGCTCAGAAGGGAAATCGGTCTGTAGTTCTTCAAGAGAGCGTTTTCGTTTCCTTTCTTAAAGAACAAGACCACCGCACTTCTGCTCCACGCCTCCAGAGTAGTGCCACCATGGAGGACGGAGTTGAAGAGCTTCTGAAGGACTTCAAGTACCGGTGTTCCACCCGCTTTCAGAAGCTCCGCTGTAATTCCATCCTCGCCTGGGGCCCTGCCGTTTTTAAGGTGCTGGAGAGCCATTCTAATCTGGCTCAGACTGACGTTCGGGATATCATCGGAATAGTGTCGGGTAAGACTTGCTCTTGGATCGTTACTCACACTTGCGTGTGGCTCCAACGATGATGTGTACAGCTGCCCATAGAACCTCTCAATCTCACTCAAAATCACAGGTGTCCCGGAAACGATGCTGCCACACTTCATTTACGTTTCTTCGCAACAGATCTCTGGCAAAGACTTTGGAGCCCTGGTTCCCCGATCGCTTCTTTAATAGGAGCAGTATTAAAGTTGCGTAAGTCAGTTTGTGTTGTTGTCACTGTCTGTTCAGTTGCCTGTATGCTGTCAAATCTTTGACGATTGCAGCCTCATCTCCCGTCTAACAGCCATGAGATTAAGAGTGTGATCGGAGAGTTTTTGTGTTCTTCTGCGGCGGGTCTTGCAGAACTTAGCTCCGACCGCATGGACAGTTTCCACGAGCTTGTCATTCATATCGTCCACTGCATTGCAATCTTCTAGGCACTGGAAGCGGTTACGTAACTCGAGCCGAAAAGTCTCGAGAATCTGGATTAGAGCACGAGGGGGGACGGAGCGTTGACTTCATTAGACGAGACCTCTCCAACTTAACGTTTAGGTTCAGTGTGCCTCTAACCATTCGGTGATCGCTGCCGGTTTTCACCCTTGCGATCACTGAGACATCACTGAACAGTTGGCGTCTGGTCGTCACAATGAAGTCAATCTCATTTTTTGTCGAACCTTCGGGGCTCGACCGGGTCCATTTCCTGTGGGGCCGCTTCTGGAAGAAAGAGTTCATCATAAAGAGTCCCTCTTTCTCCATAAAGTCAGCCAGCTGCTGGCCCCTACGGTTCCGTTGCCCTACTCCAAATTTCCCTATCTTCAGCTCACCGGCTTCTCTTGTGCCTAGTTTTGCGTTGAAGTTTCCCATCAACACCGTGTAGTGGGTTTTGGAGGAATGAATGGCTCTAGAAATATCCTCATACATTTCCTCCACCTCCTCATCGGGATGTGCCGAGGTTGGTGCGTAGACCTGTATGACCTTCAGCGAATACCGTTTGGTGATTCTGAGTATCAGGTACGCGACCCTCGTCGACACACTCCCTATCTTTACAACGTTGTTTACGAGAGACTTGTGGACGATAAATCCGACACCTCTTTGGGACAGATGGTCACCCTCCCGGTGATAAAACAAGTTGCCGGACTCGAGGATTACCGTGTCCTCCCCCTCTCTTCGGACCTCAGATAATCCAATAATATGCCAGCGCAACTTGTCTACCTCTTTTTCCAGCTCCAGTATCTTCTCGTCAGTCCTCAGGGTGCCTGCGTTATACGTTTCCAGGTCGAGTCGTCGTAGCTGGCAACCGAACCTCCACCGAAGATTCTTAGCACCCACTGCTCCGCCGTTGTCATGGCCGCCACCGTAGCCAGGAATAGCGGGGCCGCCGGGGACTGGGGGCCGTTTATTTGCATCGTTGCTCATGGGGGGATATTTGCCATAGTTGCCACGCTTGGCGAGCGGGTTGGCAACCGCAGTTTTTTATTATGTTATTGTTGTTATTAGGAAGATCCTGCTGCCCATCTCCTGCTTCTGTGTCCCTCTGTCGCCTCTTACGACACCCACGGGAAGATATGGGGTAGTGGATATTCTCAACCGCCACTACACGGCTAAGTATAAGTTTATTACAGTTATATTATATCTTTATTATTTTGAACATTCTTTTTAGACTTAAAGTCCATTGCTGAATAAAGGTTCATTGTAGTTAGTTGAAAGATTTTATATATTCGTCATGATTGGTTGCTAAATTGAGGATCCTAATACGAGACGGTTGACCTTCTCTGTTGCTGTTGGATATATGTATAATGGATATATGTACGAGTATGTATGTACGACTTTTGACGGCCATGGACCGAGATAGGCTTATTGTCTTACATCGCCGTCACAATATTACGGATAAAAGTAGAATTTATCATATTTTTTTTATACAATAAGAGTGACAAAAGAGCACACAGTCCACCTGATGGTAAGTGGATGCTGTAGCATATAGACACATCTAGCCTCGATTAAGAGAAAAAAATTTGATGCGTTTTAACGCCTGATGACTAAGATAGAATGCCTCTACGCTTTTTATTTTCCATACCTACTATACGAAAATCAGCAGCATTAAGCTGCTAGACAGTATGCTGGTATTTTGAGCGTGGTCTTTCTTAGATCGCCTCAGATCGTGCTGACTCATTCGTGTTGTTGGAACCATAATCTAGCTGTAGCATGGCTCTATCTACCACTTTACATTTCTTTTTATAGAAGTTGGTGGATGCTGTGGCCCATAGAGATCTACATTTATGCTCGATTGAGAATCAAAACGTAGATTGTCAGCCCTGAGGAATAAGATGCAATGCCTCGTTTCCAGTTTCCGGATCTTTACACTCACTATACGAAATACAGCAATATTAAGCTGCTATTTCACGCTGGTATTCTGTGAGAGCGTGGTCCTTCCCCGGTCGAGCCGACCCATTCGTGCTACAACCATAATATAGCAGCGTGGCTCTACCACGTATAAAAATAGTATTTTATTTAGTAATGGTTTTTTATTTTATTCGAGTCAATTCAAATTTGTTTCGTATTTCCTTTCAGCATTTGATTATTCCGGTGGTTACTTCAACCCGGTGTTGGCTACCTCGTTGAAAGCTGGATGCGTCGGTCATTCACTCCTCGAGCACGCTGTTGTATACTGGGTGGGAGCGTTCTCTGGCTCAATCCTTTCCGTTTACCTCTACAAGTTACCAGTGATTCAGAATTATGTCAGAGGCACCACTGTCGTAAATGGCGACAGCATATGGGCAGACAAAGATGATTAAAACTCATAACAGAAAAGTGAGTCGTCAACAATACTAGTCAAACATCAGGGTTGCAAAAATCGAAAACATATTGTTTTCCTTGGTAAAACAGTTTTAATTGTTTTTGTTAAGAGTTTTTTGTTTTGAGTATTTGTATATTTATTTTTTTGTGATATAGTTATGTTATGAACAAATAATTTATTTTAATATAAAACTAAATATATTACACTATATTCGAATGCTCTAACTGAATTGTGTTTGTACATAAGTGTCATTCGAAAATATAATACGTGCTACGTAAATAATATAATTAATAAATTATAATAATAATAATAAATTTATTTATTTACCAGAAAACACTTAGCCAAAATACAATAAGTTCTGAAACTCCCACACTAGGCATGGCCCGTCTCGTGTCTCGTATATCAATCTCGAATTGTTTTATTTTTTCAAGTCCGTCAAAATTTTATAGCGTACTAGCGAACCGCCCGGCTTCGCACGAATTATTTTTGATTACCGGTATCCGATTATGGATCTAATTTAAATCATCCAGGGACTCAGCCGCGGATTATCCTTAAGGCAAACGAGGCAAGTGCCCAGAGGAGCAGGGTTAGAAAGGGGCGCGGAAGTTTCAAACGAAAATCAATTCGCCTGTTTGATTACTTCTACGTCGCCCTCACTCTCTCATCACATATTTTATTCACGAACACATATTAAGGGTACTCTTGACTATATTAAAAATTATAATTTATAACATATAGCCACTAAAGGGGTGCCGATGGTGCTATCTTGTGGCGCTGTCAACAGTTAATCCGCCTCTGTAGGGATTCAAACAAATACGAACTAAAAAAAATCATAATATCCGTCCAGCCATTAAGGAGTTGAGTGACAAAGACACGTACAGAATAGTTATACTTATATTTAAAGATATACCTTGCGAGAAAAATAAATGACAGCAACAACAACAATGCGCTAGTCGGCAAGTACGACTTGGAAGATTTGAATAAATAATTTATTACTTTGCAACCTTCCGCTAACCAATTGCAATGATGTGTCTTACCTGGATTGAAGAGCACCTCCCGCCCTCCCTCAATTGCATGCACTAACTCCGTCACCACTAGTCCCAGCACCACTACTCCCAACACCACTACTCCCGGCACCACTACTTCCAACACCACTATTCCAGGTAAGACACACCATCGACGACAATACGACACATGTTTCGCCTCTACACGAGGCATCTTCAGGTAATGTAGACTCTACGGCGACTGACCGCTCGGTCCGAGAGTGTCGACTACGATGTACTAAGGTTGGTTCTGCTTGGGGATTAAATCTCGATTTATTCACTCGTGAATAAGCGAGTTGTGTGTAAGTGGATCAATTCTGATAACACGGCATATCTCTTTACGTGGTAGAGTCGTGCTGCAGCTATATATTATGGGTGTAGCATGAATGAGTCGGCTTGACCGGGGAAGGACCCCACTCTTATACCAGCGTAAAATAGTAGCTCAAAGTTGCCGAGTTTCGTATGGTGAGTGTAGAGAGTGTAGAGAACCGGAGACCCTTTTTACTGGAAACGAGACATTTCATCTTACTCCTCAGGAGTGACTACGTATCTGCATTTTCATTCCTAATCTAGGATAAATGTTGCTGTCTATGTGCCGCAGTATCCACTTACCATCATGTGGGCTGAGTGTCGTTAGTCAGCCTTCTATAAATTTTTTTTAATTTATTGTCGACATAACCAACAGTATTTTGTAACATTATAAAGCTAGTCAAGATTCGAAATAAACCCTGGAATTTTTTAAAACTTATAACTAATAATTTTCGATACATTACTTAATACCAAGAGTCGGAAAGGGACGTCCTAGGCGAAAATTTATCGACCAAATTGGCGATTTATTGAAAACGGGCCAAATTAGGAGTACCCTTAACCGACGAGCATGTACGCGTAGGTGTATGGATGTGAAGGAGGCAAGAGAGGTGTGTCAGGATCGTGCAAAATGGAAGTCTGTAGTCTCTGCTTACCCCTCTGGGTGACAGGCGTGAGTGTTTATGTCTTATGTTTATATGTACTTAATACCACTTATTTAATACACGATGTATTCTAACTTAGAACTATACGTGTGAGAGCCTGACTATGACTATCCTAATTCTTAGTCTAGGTCATTAAGCCAAAGAACAGTTATCAGTGTTCACACGAAATACCACTTGTCTTCCACACGCAATTCAGCAAACTACACCCACGCTTACGCTTGAATTATGATGGTATCCGGTGCAGTTCCGGGAATACCGGGATGCATAACTCTTCCCCTCTCAGATTTGAAATTACTGGGCGAAGTTTTCTTAGCCCGATAATTTCGGTACATATATTTTTTACAAAGGGTTACATTTATTAAAACTAAAATTACATATAAAATTAATGTCGCATAACTTATGTCCTTCACATTTATGACACTCTCACTTTGTTCATTTTGTTTACATGTGGTTTAGTGCTGTAGATTGGTTAGGTCCACGTCATCCAGGTTTACTGTTACTGGATTTATTTGATGCATTGCGTAGGACAATTTTTTGTGTAAAATTTTGATAATGTAAAGCCGGTTTAATAAAATTACGACAAAAAAAATTGCTGAAAGCATTGCAAATATCATTATTAATTGAAAGCTGATTATTGTTATATTGCATTATGTTAGGATAAGCTGATTTATTTCCCCCATAATAATTTAGGTATAGTTGTAATATTTATTGAGAATAATTAATGTAAGACGAATAACATTCCCTTTCAAGATTTTTAAATCGCGAACGCAATATAGAAAAAGATTCATAATCATTTAGGTACCCATATTCCTTCCAGTAAGAATAATACTTAGCTTCTTTTTTAATTAATTTTATTAAGGCATTATTACTATACTAAATAGGATAACTGTAAGTATTAGACACAATTTTTTGTGGCACAAAATTAGAGATTGCTGTATTTAATGTTACGTAAAATGTATCAATTACGTATTTTAAATCATTAGATTTTAGATAAGACCAATCGTAATTAGAGAAAAATGTGTTTAGTGTATCATAATCAGGTATCTTAAATGCGTATATTTAAAGTATACAACAACAGTATGAGCATAACTATTTTTAGAAACTATACATGGTTATTACTTATTACGCTTTCATCGCGTACACTTTCTAGTAAGGTACGCTTAAACTTTGAGCGAAAAACTGAACTAGTTCAAACATACATCGAGCATAAACGCGATAGTATTTGTTATTAATGTATGTAGATAGTATTTATATGTTATACAAAATAACACTAATATTATAATTAAACTTATAATTACTTCCTGTTCGCCTTACAATCCCGTGATAAAAATAAAATAAAAGAAAATGTACTATGTAGATTATATAACATATTCTATTGACTAATATTAACCCTTGAAGTTACTCCTGTCGGCGCTGCGGGAAGTGCAGCCCCTTCGCCCTTGCGTAGCAAAGCGGACGGGAGCTGATCCCCCTCAGCGCCTACGGATTTACAAGAAGACTCTAGGGGTAAGGCAGACAAGATTACGTAGAGACAGGGCGTGCTGATTCAGTTTTAGAAACTGTCGAAATAATTCGATCGTGTTTTCGCGATCACCATAAATTTTTCCGGAAATTCGGTTTATCTTATTATTATCCTACGACATGTATAAAGTACACATAATATTTAATTATGACGAGGACTGCCGTAAGGAAGTACAGTCAAATCGACAATTAATTGTATTACTTGTTGAAGGTAATTGGGCATATTATGAAGATAAATAAGATTTAAGTGCCTTTATAATAAAAATACTACTTTTATAATAAAAATAATTTTGTCTCTCACAAAGAACTTCATTATTTTAAGAGTTACCCTTAAATAACCATAAAGTAATAACTACACGATTAGTTGATAACTAATTGTTGCATATTTTTTAATATAATGACATTTACTTAGTAAATTTCTGAGCTTGTATACTTTAGTAATACTTGTTACGCGTTTACATCCCAAATGTATACAATGTCAGAACATGTCGGTTCTAGCCTTGTATAATATCTTAACTAATTTACTGAATCAGCGTTAAAAAGTTTTACGGTGCAGGTAAACATCCTGAAGACGTGTGAAAGCCGCGAAGCATTAGAGTAGAGATGCCGATACACCTTGCTTCAGTGTCCTTATAAAAGACACATGCTTACTGTAGAGTGCTTATTGGCTTAATATATTAATTTGAGCAATTAACTACCCCTTTCCTGAATCTCGAAAAAGAAAACATATAAATAAAACTGGACCTAGTTGTGTATACGAAGGTCCAACCTCTTACCTGTGTCCGCCATCAAATTCCATTGCCTGTGATCCGATCTAGTCTGAAAGGTATACATAGAGAGCAAGTTTAATTACAGGCTGTAATGAATATATATATACATGAATGAATATATATATATATATATATATATATATAAAAAGATAGACACCTATATGCAGGAAGTCGATGGATGCAGGTGGCTCAGTGACCGTGCTTTGTGGCATTACTTGGGGGAGGCCTATTTCAGCAGTGGACTTGTGAAGGGCTGTAATGATATATATATATATATATAAAATAGGCTTGTTATAGGGGCTGATGTTTGCACCCTTATAGGTGACATAGCATTACAAAATACTGTAAAAATTAAGACAGAAAAGTTACAATAGCTTATATGTCGCAAAATATAACGTCTAAAGATAATATACAACTAAGACCATAAAAACATGCATATAACCAAGCGGCAGCTGTAAGGAACATGGATAATAGATTATAATTAAATCATTTACAAATCATTTATAATAGTGATATTTTTCCTTCAATGAATGAATTCCATCTTACTTTTCAGAAGTTTTCATTAATTGTTAAATATTTTTTTATTTCGTGGTCTTTCGCTACTGGCCATATGAGAAAGCTCGAGATCGCTCATGTTGAGTTCTATTGAAAGGGCTATGCTCGGGGTTTCTCTGCCTGATAAACTTAGAAATGAGAATATCTGCAGTAGAATTACATTAACCAACATAGCCCACCGGATTAGTAAGCTGAAGCTGGCAATGTTCCGGTCATATAGCTCGAAAAACCGACACGCAACGGGGATGAAAAGTCCTCGGCCCCTTACTAGATGAAGTAATGACCGGGAGGCCTATGTTCAGTAGTGAACTTGTGTAGGGCTGTAACGTTGATAATGATGATAATTTTTAATTTATAAATATTTCAAGAGAACTCTTTAGATTTTATTATAAAGAATTAAAGCTAAATGAGAAAAACCTTTTCACTGACGAGACGCTAAAGAATTTGGTTAATTAAAAAGTTCTTAAGTTTTAAGTCAAGGTCTCATGGTCGAGTTCAATATTTTAGTGAAATAAAAGGAGTGTGAAAAAGGGTGAGAATAAAAAAAAAAAATGTAAAATGGAATCAGTCAATAACTTTTTATTTAAACAGCCTTTTTAAGGACACAACGAAAAAGAATTATTTATTTTCGGTGTTGACGATATCATTCTTGTACTGTCAGCCAGAATGTATAACCACACTATTCGGTGAGTAACTGAAAACAAGTAGATAGTTACTCTATAAGGTGCTACGGCTTTTTTATCATGAGGAAATCCTCATAGATACCTATCGTTGCAGGGGAGATGAAAATATTATAGATGGAGATATAGATAGATTATGATAGACGGACTGCTACCGGCGAAAACCCCACGGTGTTCATCATCAGCGTATGCGAGGGGTTTTGGGATCGCTCGAAAAGCTCAAAAACATCACAGTAGGTGGACTTTGGAGCGCTTTGCGTTTGAAATTAGCGGGAAGTTGCAGGAACGGCCTGTAGGGTCAATAGTGTTTTATTTATTTATTGTGGCATTGGCTATGTGGCCTTTAGTCAAAAATGCACGTTACAAAATATGAACCGAAACGAAATGAAATAAAACCTGTTAAAACCAAAAAAAAAAAAAAAACACCCCAACCTCCCCCCCCCCCCCCCCCCCCCCCCCGACTCTGTCGTTCACATCAGCAATTTAAATTTGCTTTGTCACTCTTCCCTCGTACATTATTTCTACATTACCAAACCACCGAAGCATTCCTTTCTTAATCCTGGTCACAACATCATCGTGCACACCAAATTTTTCTCTTATCTCGCAATTTCTCACTCTGTCATTTATTTTTCCTTGTCATTTAGCCCTAGCATACTCCTTAAAGACCACATTTCTAAAGCATTTATTCTACTTTCGCGCTTCTTCTGCCACACCCAACTTTCACTACCATACATTAAAGTAGGGATTAATACAGCATTATGAATTACCACACGTGCCTTTTTTGACACATTCTGATTATTCATAATAGAGCCCAATTCTCTCTATTTCCTGCATTCACTAGTACTTATATATCCTTATCATATCTACTGTCTTTGCTAAATAGACATCCCAAATACACAAACTCATCCACTTGCTCAATCAACTCCCCTTCTATTCTAATTTCACATAACGTTTTACTTTATTTATTTATTTAACAGCTTATGTACACACATACTTTGATAGGAAAATGGTAAAAACAAAATTATGTACAAGGGCGCTGCTTATTCCATAAAGAAATTTCTTCCAGCAGGCCTATTGAAGGATAGTTGAAGGAAATAGAAGTAGTCAAAATTTATTAACATATAAAATAAAATACAAATTTACACACATCTACATATATACACATACATACATACATATATATATATATATATTATAAATATACATACACATAAATATATATATATATATATATATATATATATATATATATATATATATATTATAAGAAAACATATTATATAATTCAATATATTATATTTTTAATGTTACATATATGAATATCTACACATCACGAATTAATCATTATGGTGTGAATGATAATGCTCTTTAACAAGTCTTTTAAACATAGACACCGACTTAGCGTCACTACTTTCTTCTCTATCGAAAACTACGTCTTACTTGGGTTCACTTTCATTCCCTTTCTTTTAATAAACAGGTCATCAGTGTAACCATCACTTGCAACTCGGCCGCTGACGACGCAAATATGACTTGATCATCGGCGTACAAAAGGCATTTGACGGTTAACTCGCTCATTCTTAACCCACATTCTTCACCTTTCAAATTTTGCAAGAAACTGTCCATAAATAGGTTGAAAAGCCACGGGGAAGCTACACCGTTCTGTCTGACACCTTTTTGGATGCCAAATTAGTCTTAGTAGTACCCGTTGATCCTAACACAAGCACTAGAGTCTCTATAAAGAGACCTTAATGCCTGTATCAAACCAGCGCTCAACCCAAATTAGTTCAGTGTTTGCCATAACACAGTCCTGTCCACTCTGTCATATGCCTTTTCTAAGTCCATGAACGCACAAAAAACCTTCTGTTTTTTGGCCATAAACTTCTCCGCAATCATGCGCACGGAAAACACTTGATCTGTACACCCCATTCCCTTTCTAAATCCCGCTTGCACATCCCAAATTTTTAATCAGTTTCTTTCATAACTCTTTTAATTAATACAGTATACCCACATTTGTTCATTTTTTCATTTTTACGGGCAAATATTATATATAAAAATACCCATAGCTAATCATATATGTATACTTACTAAATATTTAAATTTTTTATATAGAATAGGGTGATAAACGAGCACGCAGTCCCCCTGCTGGTAGGTGGATTCCAAGGCGCAGTATAAAACACTGCCAAATTCCTTACCCCTCGGGGCAGATACTGATAATGCCTTAACAGTAAAACCTAATACGATAAAACTAAACTAAGTTTTGCCCGACCACTTCGAGCCCTGGTCACAAGATCAACTGTCGCTCTTACCACCACAACGCCAACGAGGAAGTCCAATATGAATATGTTTATGTGTACTGTAAAGACTAGTTGCAAAGTCGTTTGTACAGTTGTACGAGAAACACGCATTCAAATTCAAAATTCAATTATTTTTTTTATTTGCAACCAACATTGTAGATAATAACTTTACGGAAGTTAATTATGTAGCTTCGATAAGAAAGTGTCGGTATGCTTCTCTTTTCAATCCATGAAATGACATTGCTCTGAAATGATCGATATTAGAACCATTCGAAAATGCAATAACAGTTTTTGTAAATTGATATTAACTATTTTACGTGAGTGCTTTTAAATTATTATGAAATTCTCCTTAAACTTACGGCCTACAAAAGTCACACTACTGGGTATAGGCCTCCGCTCATTTCTGAGAGGGTTTTAGTGCATGGAATTGTCCGCCGTGCTGGTCTAATGTATATTGACGAACTTCACATATCTTCGAAATATATTTTTTTCTTATTTCTCAGACATGCAGGTTTCCTCACGATGTTTTCCTTCACCGCCGAGCACGTGGTAAATCAGCACTTAAAATTATAATAATCAATTTAATTGGTGCTGGCAGGGATCGAACCCGGTTTGCTCGCGGACTGTGAAACGATAAAATTCTCCTTACGTACTTTTAAATTAGCAGATCTTTTAGTTTGGTTTTTTGTTAATATTTTCTTTTTTTTTAATTGAAGCGCTAAACGATCTTACAGATTACCTGATAGTAAACGGCTACTGCATTCCTTGGAGACAGACAACTTCATACAAAGAAGGCTACAGATACGTCATAACCCCTGAGAAATGGAATGGAACACCTCACAGCCTGTTATTATACTGGCTCCCTACCCTTCAGGCCGAAATACAGTGATGCCAGCCCTGCTTGAGGGCTCTGTATGAGGGTAGTGCCTACTCAAACGGACTCCTAGTCGTAAAAAGAATTCCCTATTTTCGTTTTTCAATTCCTGCGCACATTCTTCACAATATTGCTTACTATATTCTAACATATAGGTTTACACCCTCTTATAACCTTTGTAACCCGGGGGCTACTTACAGTGTGTAAATACTAAATAGTAACATGTAGTGGCTGCATAATAGAATCCACCATCCTATATCATTTCCTGGTTGTCGTAAGAGGGATTGAAGAAAACTGAAACAGATGATGAGCAGCAGCGTTTTTTTGATAACAACTGAAAATCATCAAAAAACTGCAATTGCATATGCAAATATGGTGTAACCCATCAAGCGGATGATATTTGCAAAAGTTGCCACATTTGGCAACTATTGACAATAAAATATTACATCCGACGAGGCAATCTATAAGGGAGGCCTTTGCTCAGCAGTATTTTGATGATCAGGCTGTGATGATGAAGGTTATCCTTATATTATAATTACGTCACTGCCCTCGGGTTTAAAAAAAAGACATTAATTTGTTGATGGATTTTCTGATTGGATACACAGCTGCAAGGATCAATAATAAAACGTATATGTTTCCAGTGTTGCCAGTAACAGAATGCGCCGTGCCTATTGACATCGTCACCGAAAAACTGACGCCGGCATCTTTAAAAAAACCGACTCCAACCATAATAGCAATGATACCGAACAAAATACCAATCATAACCAGCACGGCACGACGCGTTGCAACCACAAACCCCCGCAGGGGCTTATACCATTGGTGGTACGGAATGTTGGGATATACATTTCTCACTCAGATTGTACACTACTTAGAAGTGACTCAATATGAGTACTTTACGTTTCATGACAGCTACTATTATCAAGATTCAAATGTTCCTTTCATTGAAAAATCAAAGAAAATAAAACTACCCAAGCCATTTGAAGGAGCCGCGTTACCACTGGGTCAAGTACCACCAATACTTTTAAAAATGATAACGCCAACGTTCCATGATAACAGAATAGCTAAAGCGATTTCTCGTCTGCCACCTTTAAAGTATCCAGATTATTTTAAAGGCTGGATAGGTCAGAAAAAAAAGTAAATAAAGAAAAGTGTACTCGTATGTCTAGAGAACAGTAGTTATTTAAATCATTTTGTTTTTGCGAGAACCCTACTGAGAAGAGGAATTTCCGTGTTGATGGTTTATAAGTTAATAAGTAGTAAAGTTATATATATTTAATAAAGTTACTATATATTTAGTTTTTTAATATACTAGCTTGCCAGGCAGACGTTGTTCTGTCCTTTTCGACGACCCTTTGTCATGTTCTATTAAAAATCCTTTAATTTGCAAAAAAAAAAGAATTGTGGGTCACATGGGCAAAAAATCATATCTCTCAAGTTGAACCAAACTGCACACGGTGTGCAAATTTGATTAAAATCGGTAAAGCAGTTTAGGAGTCTATCGCGGACAAACAACGTGATACGTAATTTATATATATTAAGATTGATTTAGTATAATAGTTTAGTTAGTTAATATATATCTAGTGGTTGTAGATTACGACTGCTGATCATGAGGTCCTGGGTACGAATCCCGGGTAAGACCATAAAAAAACTAATTATTGAGTTTTTCCGTCAAGAAATTCTCAGTAGTTGCCCGGAGTCAGGAAGTTGGCGGTGTCTCACCCCCGTGCCTCGGAAAGCACGTAAAGTCGTTGGTCCTGCGCCTGATCTCTCTCCGGTCATGTCGGTTTACCGTCCTATCGGATTATGATAGTGAGGGAATAGAGAGTGCACCTGTGATTGCGCATACACTTTGGCACTATAATCCTGTCCTGCACCGATGGCTAGCCTCCGCGGAGGCAGGTCGCCGTCGCCAAAATTCGGTCTGGAGGACATTAGTATATATAATAAAGTAGTAAAGTTTATAAGTACCAAGTGGTGATGATGCCTTAGATGGTAAATAGCACTGTCTTGTGGTTAATTTTACTATGAATAATTTTGTTCATTTTTGTTAACAAACAACATGTGTCTTAAACGAACGACACGACATAATACGAACTGGTTTAATATTCATAAGCACCGATTAGTAATGATGAATATATATTCTTTGGCACCGACCCACAAAAATGCAACTTATGTCTACGAATGCGACGTAGCTTTAGCTTATTTGACCTTTCTTGTAAATAGGATTCGAAGTGCTATGTTTGAAGATTGGTAAGTCAGTGAAAATGTTGTGTTGTATTGCGACATCTAATAGGAATACTTACAGGCACAGGGTTACATAGAAAGATTTTCACTTCGAGGCGTACCCAGTATTTCTATAAGTGCAAAGTTCACTGCCCCTCTGCGAAAATGAGCTTCCCATTAAATTGTAAATGAACAAGTCCAATGATGATCAACACTTCGTTTAATGTGGGTTTGGTTTTTTGTAGTATAATGTTATTTATTTGAGAAGTTAGTTTAAATAAAAGTTTATCCGTTTATATAGAATTATATAAATACACAAAACCATGCCTCAGTGGTTCGCTCTTTAATTTTTTAATTTTCTCCTTTTATGAATATCTGCGGTTTGGTTTACTTACTTTTAATCTAGTTAATATAAAAATGTTATATTCGTGATATTATTTAGAATAAAACACAGGTAATTTGCTAACTTAATATATGCTTCGTTTAATGATCGGACAACAGACTGATTTTTTTTGTCTTACCCTCTGTACGAAAACATTACAAAAATATAACTAAAAGTACAAAAAGAAACATTAATCTTTACATAATCGGAATACAATATATATTCTATTCCGAGCCCAATATATAAATTATATCCTGCGATGGGCATTCATACTCTAAGATATTATATCTATAAACAAGTGAGCGGTCGCCATTGGATAACATCGCAAGCATCGTTTACAAACAAAATAGATATTTTTTGCTAGACAACCTCGACTGTTCAACAGAGGAAGATGTAAAAGAAATTGATTTACGTGTGTTACTTTTAAGTAAAAATAGGGAACGTCGATACTTGATATAAAATCGTATAAACTTTAGAGAGGAATATGCTGAATTTAGACTTTTTAATGAATTGTACGTAGAAAAGACTTTTGGTATGAATAAAAATTACGAACACAAATGTGTATACGAATTACACTGGCAACAAGTTCACTTAGGTAATGTCAGAGCAGAGCTGACAGACAAGAACTTGGGAACGGCGGCGGCGAGGAACAGTGTGAGAGATACAGGGGGCGAAATATAATATGAAAATATCACTCGGTCGACCGAAAAAATATTTATAGTATGAGGTGTAAAATATATTACATCTTAATGTAAACGGTTCCATTCAATATGATGGTGAGCGATATTAATTTATATCTGGAGATGTAATATAAATTACATTATATCCCATAGTGAAAATCGAGCTAAATATTACACCACATTTATAAGTTACGCCTCCCTGGTGACAGAAAAACCGTGGTCATTATATATACATACAAATAAACAACTTTAATATAAAAATATACTAAACGGCAATTTTTTAATCATCTAATATTAATCTGCTATAAGATAAACATAATGCCATAAATTGTAAAGCTTGTCACTTATTAACATGATTCAGCTGCTTGTCACTTAATCATTCGTTTAATTGAAATCTCAGAGTAATTACTAGCAAAAATATGTATACTATTGCCTTAACAAAAAGTATATTATAATTAGTATACGCTCCGAGATTGAAATCTAGATACCTACTTTTTTAATTTAATTGTTATTGCGTTTTATTAGAAATTGCCAATATGCTAATTCGCATTTTGTAAAACCTTGCGAAAGTTGAAATAAAAATGAACAATGCGATTGTATTCGTCCAATTATTTATAATTGATATCTTTTGTACCAATAATTTGTGACATTTCTGTAACTATGTTAAATAATATTTTACTTAGTTCTTTAATTATTTCTTGAAATTTGACAATTTCTATTTTACGGCCCCGAGTTCCCGGCGCCCCTTTAATGAGGCAGGGGTGCGAAGAATCTCCGGGAGGAAAACCGGCGACGAGGTTCGCCACCCGTCACGTTCTGCCTCCCGGAGGGGCGAAAAGAGGATTGCGGAGGCCCGTCTAGCTACGCTGAATGTATGTGGAGCAATGAATGATAAGATGGATGAAGTATGTGATATGATGTATGATAGAAGAATAGAAATATAGAAATAATGTGTAAATGAGACGAAGCGGAAGGGAAAGGATGTCACTACACATGGCATATATACTGCGAACTGGTCCGGTGTAGACGAGACCGAGCGAGCATGACAGGGAGTCGGTATCATCCTTTCAGAAAGAATGGGTCAATGTGTGAAAGAGTATGAATGTGAAAGCCCGAGACTGCTATGGATACGAATAAAAGTGGGCCTAAAGAAGTTGTTTGTTCTAGGGGTCTACGCGCCAGACATGTCTAAGCCCACTTATATCCGAGAGCAGTTTTGGGAAATGGTAAGGATGGTGTTAATGAAATGTAAGGAAAATGAAAATATTGTTATGTTAGGAGATTTTAATGGAAGGGTTGGGGTGAGGAGGCTTGGCTATGAAAGGATACTGGGAACGTTTGGTGATGAAAGTATTAATGAGAATGGTGAAAGCCTCCTCACCGTATGTGTGGAAAGGAATCATTTTGTGACGAATACTTTCTTTCGTCATAAGAAGATTCACATGTATACTTGGGAAAGAGGTGATGATAGAAGCATGATAGATTTCATAACTGTGGATGAAAGAATGCGGACCGCAGTGGTGGATACAAGGGTTTACCGAGGGTCCAATGTAGGGACGGACCACTACCTGGTCTTATGCCGAATTAGGGGTTTATTCAGACGTTGGCGGCATCGGACATCTGTGTCTACCTCTGCGTTACAGCGTATAAGAATTGAAAGGTTACAAGATGAAGATGTGAAAGACAAGTACAAATATAGACTGAGAGAAAATATAAGTGATTTGGATGAGTTGTGCGTGAATGAGTTAGACTTGGAGAATGTGTGGCATAATGTTAAGAAAGGTTTAGTGGATGCAGATACCGAAGTATGTAGTGTTAGTAAGATAACGAATGAAAGGAAATACAATAAGATATGGTGGGATGATGAGGTAGTATGGAAGTTGAAGCAAAGAAGAGAGCATGGCTAGATTTACTAGCGACCAAAGCTGGTAATTCTGGCGGTAAGAATGATGAGATTGAAAGAAAAAAGGCAGAGTTTAAACGTCTAAATAAGAGAGTAAAAGAATTAGTTGAAAGGAAAAAGCAAGAAAGAACGCATAAGAATGATAGAAGAATATTGGATAACTTCCAGGCAAATATTAAAATATTCTGGAAACTCGTAAGAAATACCAGTGGACATTCAAAACAGCCTAGGTTGAATGCGATACGAGACGAGAATGGCTGTATTCTGAATGATGAAGTGTTGAGTCTAAAGAGATGGAAGGAATATTTTGAAAGCGTATTTATGAGTAAGGAGACGTGTGAACTAAATGAAATAGAAATTCCGAAAGAAGATGAAAGAGATAGGGAGATAAGTATAGGTGAAATAATGAAAGCAATGAAAAGCATGAAAGTAGGTAAGGCAGCCGGATATGATAGAGTTTCACTCGAAATGCTAAGGGCTGGAGATGAGCTGGTGGAAGGCCTGCTGTACACCTTGTTTAATTTATGTTGGGAACTAAAACGAGTACCGGGAGACTGGTGCAAAGCCGTGATAGTCCCAATATATAAGGGAAAACGGTCATAGCAGGACTGTAAAAACTACCGTGGTATCAGCCTTTTTAGCATTGTGGGAAAACTGTATGCTAAGGTACTAATTGAAAGAGTTATGAAAGAAACTGATGAAAAAATTTGGGATGTGCAAGTGGGATTTAGAAAGGGAATGGGGTGTACAGATCTTTTCCATGCGCATGATCGCGGAGAAGTTTTTGGCGAAAAACCAAAAAGTTTTTTGTGCGTTCGTGAATTTGGAAAAGGCTTATGACAGAGTGGACAGGGATGTGTTATGGCAAACGCTGAACGCATTTAGGTTGAGCGCTGGTTTAATACAGGCATTAAGGTCTCTGTATAGGGACTCGAGTGCTTGTGTTAGAA